CCCAAGTTCGAAGTGTGTGTGGGTGGGGGAGGGTGCGCGTGTGGATCAATCTTTGAAACATACCAGCATGCTTCTCGTATGCCACGTGACAACGAGCATCCTCCCACCTTGCCTGGCAAGGTGTCAAAGATCGTCTCCAAAGGACAGCGAGAATCAGCGCATCCAATGATGGCAGTGTGGGGTGCCTGACCTACCTTGGAGACCGCGGACGCACGCGGACACCGAAGATTGTGGGTGGACTTGGACGCTTGATGTGCGCAAGAGAAACAATGCGCCTGGCCTATCTCATTGATCGCTTCTTGCTAGTGTCTGTGCAAGACAAATAGTCGGATAGGGTGGGGTGAAGGGTCAACACGTATGGAGATCGTGTTTTTGCAGTTGCAGGTTGGAAGATCCACCCAGTGCAAGCATCCCGTCACTTGGCGCAAGTATCAACAGCCACATTAACATACATTAACATAAAATTCCGCCACGATGTGTGATTGGACCATGAAACCATGGACTGGTTTGTGCCAGTATTGGCAATTGTCATTGAGTTTAAAGTGGCGCTGCTTGCTCGAGTTCAGGGCATCATTTCTCTCTGTTCGTTCATATATATATATATATTATACACGTACCCTACTGGCGGCTCCTATCCTGCGATTGGACACTCCAACCGACTGAGTAGTTTGATGTTTTGAAGTCAGCCCTGAACAGCAGACGCGTGATCTCGTGCAGGTCTGTTCTCGTGCAGTTACTACTCCGTCTCTAGTTGAGTCATGGTTATGACTGGGTTCATGTTATCAAACCCTTCACACATGGAGACACATAGGAGTGATTCAAACCAAGTGAGCTGTGGCACCTGGGCAGAAAAATAAGATTCTCCCATTGACCGTCCCACTTGGGGCTAGGAGTTCTGTTTTGATCGACAAATCATCTCTGAACCATGTGTCTTTGTCCAGCTCCCTGCGCATCAGCGAGTCCACCTTGGTGGACTTCGGTTCGCCCTTCACAAAGCGCACGTTGCCGTCCTGTCATGTGTCACAGATTGGCAAACATGGCACATAGCCGGACATAGCCAATGACTGGAGTCACTGCAGCAGTAGCTTCTTGCTACTAGTAACTAGTAGTAAGAATGCTCCTAGTAGCGATGCCAGGAGCCCTTAGTAGCGTCCTTGCTCCTAGTAGTAAGAGATTCACCGCAGACTCTCACTCTTGGGTTTCAGTTTCTACTATCTACCAATCAAATCGAATCAATCCTTGGTTTGATTGAGTTTGAGTCACCCACAAGTCTTTGTCCATTGAAACACGGGTATTGAATGTGGACGCGTGGATTGGGACACGGACTCTGAAAAGGGTGAGAGCAGCGGTCCTTCAAGAACTTGAGGGCTTGCTCAGGTGGCACCTGATGATCACCCGCCGTGCGAACTCGTCCGTCCATGCCTCAGCCATAGAGTGATCATGCGCTGTGCTCCCTTATTCCTTTCACCGGGTACCCCCCTAGCAGACTAACATAGACCCTAAGAATTCACCAGTGAAAGAACTTTTTCCTCTAGAACCCAGTTCCATAATGTTCCATATTCATCTGCAGGGGAGTATCATCGAGCTTTCCGAGAGTTCTGTCTCCCTGGTCTCCTCGATCTCCCCGCCTGCGGCAGCTCGGGCCATGGGGTGGTCTGCAGGCAAGTCGAGCATCGCGCCAGCCGCTCCGACGTTATCGATGGGCCGGGACATGGCGAGTCGACAACGGTGAAAATCAACGCGTGAAGATCCAAGGCTTGTTGCTGCGGCTCGGAACTACACCATGGCTTGCGTCGATTTGCCGCGACGGCCAGACAAGTGTAGACACTTCATGACACTTCAAATAGTTACTCCCCTGCGACCAAGAGTTAAAGCCGGCTGGGCATGCTTTTCGTCCGCACGAGGTGTCACGAGTTTCTGGCGGTCTACCACAGCATGAGGCATAGAGCTTGGGGATGTTGTTGGATGTTGTTGGAGAATAACACCAGGGCAGAATGCCAGGAGCTAAGCATAGCTAGAAAATTAATGAAAATTGGCTCGGAATAATGCCAGCTGCTTTTCAAAAGAGGCTGGCTTCGAAACCTTAAACAGCAGCACTCTTGTCTGCAAAATGCTTCGACCTACAGTAGCCCCGAAGGAAGCCCGCTGCTCCTCCAGCGGAACAAATTCAGTGAAACAATGTCCTCCAAAAGGCATCTGGACTTTGAACGTACGAATCTTCAAAGAAAATCAGATTTGGTGTCTGCCTTGCTGTGCCCAAAATCCTCTTGGAAGATCAAAGCTCTAGGACTCTAGGCAGCTGGGATGCTGTCCAAGTCTTCTTCGAACATGAAGCCGGACGCTTCTTTCTTTCAGTTTCAAACACCGGAAATGAGCTCACTTAGTCAACGAGGGTGGCAAATTCGCCTCCGACTTGACAAGACCGGCCTTGGGGCTCGAGCCACGGAAGGCCACTATCACAACGAAGCTACTCAACTATGAGCACGAGTCCGAATCACCCACTATCACACGTCACACACGTCACACGTCTTGAACATTGAGTTTCGCTCCCGTAAGCTGACGAAAGTTTTCAATGTTCAATCGAACAATTTGCTGTACAAACAAAATGCTGTCTGTGCCAAGTGCTGCCCTACCATGTCCATGAGCTGATCCATAAGAACGCCCGCGAAAAGAGTTGAACCACCAACAATCGTCTTGAATCGCTGAATTGAATAGGCACATCCGTGATAATCCACTGTCGCTTGATGTTTTTGGCAAAGGACTGATTCAAATCACATCTGTAGCTGAGCAAATGTCAAATGGCTGAAGGATCGGCAAAACAGAAAAACTCAAAGATCCCTTAGCCTAGTTTGAAGAAGAGAAGTTGTCGTTCAGGTGCTGTCCTGCTGGACTTTGCAACTGGCCGTCTGTCTGTGTGTGTGTTGCAGGCCAAGGGGCTTGTGCAGGGCTTTGACCCAGGAACTCTACTCGGCCGGTTTCGAGGTCGTAGATGCCACCCTGAATCTCCACCTCACCAGCCTGGACCTGCATCAGTCGGATCTACCGAGTGCAGAGTGGTTGGATGCCACGGTCTCCCTTTGGAGGACAATGTTTTCAGGTCCAACCAAGTCCAATCACACACTCCCCAAGTGTTGGGGATGAAAACATTCTCACAGAAATGAATGGGTGGATGCTGTCAAGAACCATTGGAAGTGGTCTAATAAACCGTACAAACACCTCGATGAACAAACCTGGCTACCATGCCATTGACCTTTTCATGTTCAATACACATCAAGAAAAATGAAGCTCTAGTATGGCTTTGACATGACTCCACAACTGGAGAAAACCAAACAAGTGCTCGAAGTCTCATTGGCGTCGATGCCCTGCCTCCCAGCCCGAAGCCTTCCATGAACACCCGTCTTTTTAATTGAAAGACTTCAGCAACGTGTCGTCAGCATGTCGTCCTGTCAGCATGTCATCTTCCCCGGCGAACCCATCGCCTTTCTTCGAATCAGAGGGCTGTACTGAAGAAGGAAGTCAATAGTATGGAAAACATTCCTTGGCAGGACCCATGCCGGTGTGATCTCCATCAACGGACTATGACCCGGCACGCCGGGTTAATTGAGTCACTCACTCCTTTGCACAGCACTCGTTCCTGACCAGTAAATTGAGATATTGTTTTCGCCTCTTACTTCATCAATCAGTTATTTGCATACAATCACAACTCACGAAGTCCTGGGGAGCATGTTTGCCTCTATATCATACAAGTAATTGAAACATCTTGAAACCGCCTCCAATGACAATTCATCAACATCGCCTCCAATGTCAATTCCTCACAGGCTATCACTCCAACCTAGTAGCGATGGCCTCCAACCTGCCTCCAGTCGATGAACAAGGCTCAGTTTGACAGCCAAGGTGGCGATCTGTTGTTCCGTGGCATCTGGACCAAGTTGGCTGGCTGCAGAGGAAGCCACCACGCTGAGACCTGGCGGGACCCTCCACCCACCAGAAATCCGCAAAGCTGCAATCTGCACAAGCCACCAGTGTTGAAGGTTCTTGTTGACCATTACTATGCAGTCTCCTGCCATAGTTGGGTGCAAGTGGTAATATTCCGTCCCCTGCATACACCTGCAAATGAACAATTCCTTGCAATTTTGAGTTGCGGACAGCATGGTACAATATGACCTTTGCCAATGACCCCCCAACCACGCCTTCTAGCAGCGCATCCAGGGCTTTGGCGGCCTGTAGTCGTGATCAACTGCAAGAGTGGCAGTGTTGGACTAGGCCACTTGCATGCTCTAAGAACGTCAACACTAACAGGAATCACATGATTTGATGCACTCAAGTGCCTTTGGAGGAAAACTAGTAGGAGGTCGCGCACGTGGGGGCGGTTCAAGCACGTGGGGGCGGTTCTATTGACAGCACGCACAAAAATTCAAGGGAAAGGAAAAGAATAAAAACGATGTCGTAAATTTGAGGGGCGGATGTTCACATCCTTCCACGCACGAAAGACTTCAACAGTCTACATAGTTGCTTTCCTCCATACGTCAAGTGTTCCAAGCGAAATCGCCTTGGTCTTGGTGGGGATCTTGGATGCCAAAAAAGTCTTCGTAGCGCCCTTGATGGCGCCACAAGCAGTGTGGCCGAGAACCATCACCATCTTTGTGTGCAGGGCGCCCAAACAGAATTCCAAGCCTGACAGTCCACCATGAAAAATGCCAAACGCCAAACCAATACTGTGGAAGTATGGACTGGTACTGGTGGACCAATATGCTTTTGGCCCACTGCAAGTAGTGCTAGTTTTTCTGGCCAAATTTGCAGCTTAGCGGCTACCAACCATACTGCCTTCTGCGTGAGTGCAGGTATTGCCCGCGTTCCGCAGCACGAAAATGTCTCCGGGCATGGCATCAAACACGGTTTCTAACGGTGCACGAGAGTCCGCGCAGCCAATGATGGCGGTGTGCGGTGCCTGTCCCTCCTTCACCAACGCCTTCCTCATGGCCGGAGTGATGCGGCCGGAAATGGCTGCGCCCACGGCAAAGCGGTCGTTGCCCTCTTTGAGAAGCTTCAGCGCCTCTTGGTGTGGCATTGGGCCGTGCAGCGTGGTCCGGATTGGCAAAGCCTGCAGGGATGGTGGCAGGCTGGAATCGGAGGCCAGCAACTGTGCCTGGCATGGTGAACGACCCATGAATTCCACACGGCCAGTTTCAAGATGGTAGACCCCACCCTGGATCTCCAGGTTGCCACTCTTCACAAGCTGCCTCAGAGGCTCGCTGTACTTCAACAGGAAGTCAATGGAAGTGAAGACATTCACCTTCACGGCATGGGCAATCAACTTGTCAGTTTCAGCACCAACACCAAGCTCCTTTTCAGCCTGCTTTGCCACACGGGACAAGCCCATCAAGAGTCCCTCAAGTGCACAGCCTGCATTCTTGGATGCATCCCCTTCCTTGCTTGCAAGGTGGGTCTTGGTGGCACCAGCAATGGCTCCGCATTGCGTGTGACCAAGCACCAGAATCAGCTTGGATCCCAACTTGCCGCAGCAAAACTCCAGGCTGCCCACCATGGAACCCTCTGCGTGAGTGCATGTGTTTCCTGCGTTCCTCAACACAAACAAGTCACCCGGCATGGCATCAAACACAGTGTCCACGGGCACACGGGAATCTGCGCAGCCCAGAATGGCCGTGTGCGGAGCCTGCCCATGGCTCACCAGTGCCTCATTGGCTGATGGAATTGTTTTGCGCGGGTGTTTTGTGGATATATGAAGCCTATGCATACGCACATACACACACCTTGATCTGATCTTGCAACCTTCAGAAGAGGGTTTTCTACTTGTTCCCTTATCTTTACAGGCACCAGCGCCTCACGCATCTTTGCTGTGGCATTCTTGGCCAATGGAGCCCCTACTGCAAAGCGCTCGTTTCCAGCCTCAAAACCAGGGACAAGAGCTTAGGTTCAGTTGCATTCAAGTGGAACAATCTAGCTCTTTCATAGATGGAACTAATCGAAAGTTGCTCTTTTGGCCTTTTGGCTACTTTTGACACCTTTTTAACCTAACTTTTGGTAAAGCACGCGATCCTGCCTGGAGCATCTTCAAAGCTTCATCTGCTGCTACAGCACTGTCTGCTGCGGTTCGCACCCCGTGCATACCTCGAGCCGCAGGGCCATAGCCACTGGTGCGGCCGCCCTCCCGGGTCATGGAGGGAGGAAGCCCTCGGTGGGTGGAGCTCAAAAGTTCCGTCTGCCGAGGCGATCGCCCCATGAACTCCACGGTTCCCGTGTCCAAGTGGTAGAGGCCACCTTGGATCTCCACCTGTCCACTCCGCACCTTGTCACGGATGGATTCGCTGTATCTCAGCAAGAAGTCGATGGTGTGGAAGACGTTCACCTTCACAGCGTGGGCCGCGACGCTTTCGGCATCACTGCTCGAGCCCATGTCGCTCAGTGCCCTCTCAGCAACGGGAGCCAAGTCCAGCAAGAGGCCCTCAAGCGCTGAGTTCACACTAACCACATCACTTTTCCTTGCCTCCAAGTAAGCATGTGTGGCACCATAGACTGCGCCGCACTTGGTATGGCCCATGACCAAAATCATGCGAGCGCCCAATTTGCCCGTGCAAAATTCCAGGCTGCCCACCATGCTACCTTCTGCGTGAGTGCAGGTATTGCCAGCGTTGCGCAGCACAAACACATCGCCAGGCATGGCATCAAAGATCGTCTCCAAGGGCGCGCGTGAGTCGGCGCAGCCCACGATGGCCGTGTGTGGCGCTTGTCCCATGTCCACTAACGCGTTTCGCATGCCCTCGTTGGTCCGCGTCGCCTTCCAGGGGGCGCAAAGCCGTGGTGTTTGGAACAGCCACATGAAAGCACCGGCCCCATTGATCGCCATAGTACCAATACTCAAACCACCAAACAAGCCCTTTGACGTCAAGCGACTAAGCAGCAAAATTGCAATACACATGTCCAGCCAGCAGAGCTTGCTACAGTAGATCGTATGTTTCAAAGTGTGTCAAACATGTTCACGTGTAAACAGTTTATCAGTCAATCCAAGCACGAGGCCTGGGGCTCTCCCTTCACAAATCTCATGTTGCCCTCCTGCAAGTGTGAGCAGGGGCGGGGGTCAATGCTGTGCAAACAGCTGTGTCTTGGCCCGATGCATCCGTCAAATTTGAAGGAAGGGTCCCTCTTCAGTGTTTTGCATGTGTTGTTGTTGTAACTACCTGAATGACGTGTTCACCAAAACCGGAATCATGTAGTGGCAAGACCTGAAATAATGGAAATGAACGCTGAATGAAATGCGCGCATTGATTCAAGGAGCCCATGTGAAGCCTACTGTGGCGGAGCAAAAGTGGGTTGATCAGCAGACCGCTGGGAACTCAGCAGCAGTGGAGAGATGTTTCGTCGGGGATGATTGACGGGTCATTGATCTTTTATCAACCTCGAACCTACCAGTACGAGTAGCTGTCAGGCAGTCTAGAGTTTGGAGTGCCAGAAGTGTGGAAGGGAAAGCCCATGTTTTTGAGTGAAGGTTCCAAAGTCAGTCTCTGACCAACAAGAATCGTAACAAGAATGGTCTTCCAAAACATTCCAAACTCTTCCAAACTGGTGCACGGATCCACAAAATTCTTCAGGATTGGATGGCTCGAGCCAGTCACTCCTATCCACAACATTCCACAAGTCACTCCCTGCTCTGCAATGCTCTGCAGCTCTGAGGTTGGAGGCCATTGCTATTAGGTAGGAGGTCATCGCTTCTAGGATGGAGGCCATAGCTATTAGGTTGGAGGCCTCTGCTCTGCGCCTTCAGATGCTTCAGCGCTTCCTCCGGCGCCATGGGCGGATCCGCTGCCGTGCGGACCGAGCGGCGGCCGCCTGGCACGGCCCCCCCGAGGGAGTGCCCAGTGGAGCGAGGGTGTTTCATTGAAACGTTCACCTCTTTGTGTGTCTTCTTTTTTGCCTATTACTACCGATGGTCCTTGCTTTTTTCATTTTTCACCAGGCACCAGCTAGAAGAAAGAAATGGTAAAGTGATCCCAAACAAAGCGCCAGGAGAAGCTGGGAAGAAGAATTGCTGACACGTCCAGATTGACAGGTCAACGACTGAAAATCAGAACAAGCTTCAATTATTCCCCCAGACGAATGCGATTCTTCGCAAATGATTGTGGCACATCGGCGATTGTTGATACGTCCTGCCCTTCCAGTGGGCGGTTGATACACTTTCTTGCCAGTGTTGAAAATGGGAAGGCGGTCAGATAGTGCTCAGAAATTCGTATTGAACACCTCAAGGGACTTAAAGACCTACTCCCGGGAAAATTAACATGGAACCTGAAAATTTACCTTTGGAAGACTATTTTCCTCTACAACCCAGTGGCTGTCAGGTTCCATGTTAATTTTCCCGGGTGTAAGGTTAAGGTCTTTTTTTCTTTCGGACCTCGAGGACTCGCCCTCGCCTGGTGACGACATCTTGGCTCGGAGGCCGTGGAAGCGAGGACGGCGCTTCACTCGTTCAGCCCAAACAACTGAAGGAGGACGGCGGCTTTGACGTGAACAGAGTCGCTCAGACCTGGGCAAACCTATGGACCTAGGGGCTTCAAATCAGCGAAGCTCTAACCAGGAACTCTAGATATATGGGGCTCTTGAGAAACCAAGACTGGTTTGAACTAAGACTGGTATCTAAAGATTGACACTGCGGGGTAAGGCGGAAGAAAAAACTTCCAAGGCCTTGTGCCGGCTGTTACAGCTCACTGCACAAAGGACGGCTGTCCTTCTCAATCTCCTCCTGCAGCGAACGTGCGCTACAGTACCCCAAATGCGAGCAACACAAAGGTGATACCGCTGCTGTGCCATCCCTATAACATCGATTATATAGGCACCATATATTAGGTGCGTCTTTCACAGGACAGACATGTCCGATAAAAGAATATATTGTGGTTGATCTATAAAACGTCTTACTGAAACACAATTCTTTGCATTTCTTTGCGACAAAGTCTTTACTTTCGCGATTTGTTCGCAAACTCCATGTTTAACTTTCACGCGGGGTATCTCCGCACGCAGTCTTCCTGGTTTGGTTGTTTCCACATATCTATCTTTGGCAAATCTTTCCCGGAAAAAAAGAATGTCAAAAACTTTTGCTGACTCAAGAAACAAATGCAAACAAAATAAAAGGCCCTCAATGAACCTAGGCCTTATGTCGACCTTTTGATCAACTACCATATGTTTCTGGATCAAGGGATCGATGACATGAACATGCCGCGTGCATGCCATTGGTGTAGTGGCAACAAAAAACGGCTGCCAACAACATCCAACAACCATGTGCAAATAATCCCGAGTACCTATTAAAAAACGGACCCCAATTAAAAAAAGTCATGCCGGATCCCCTAAATTTGGTTTATATTTGGCTTTAAATTGCCGCCCTTTCAAGCCGCTACTAAACTACCAACATGGTTGATTTTGGGGGTAGTTTTTTTTATTAGGTTCCCCAAAACTCCACCATGACACGCCGCGCTTACACCAGCAGGCTTTCCTTCCCTCAATGGCACGGACTCACGCAAACGCACTTGCCACCGAGGTCACGCAACACCGCATGGCACAGCGACATCACCTTTCGAAAGCTTTAGCTGTTAGTCTACTGAAGAATCACTATTCTAATGAAGGTTTTTGTAGGGGAAAAGGAGGAAGACCCTTCGATCTGGCGGTTTTTTGCATTTTTGATATGAGTTTAATAAAGGATTTTATATAAAATTTTCCTGGATTACTTTTTGGTTTTGAAACTCTTTCCAGGTGACCCTATTTTGGACACCCCGATTTCAGGGACCCCCTATTAAAAAAAATGCGACCGAGGTTTCCTTATTAGGGGGGGGGGGGCCGTGTTTATTATTAGGGGGACGGGATTAAATGTTCATATATTGTATATTATATATTATATGTTTTATATCTATCTTCTATTTGGCAACCAGCCGAATTCAGTCAAGCATTGCAGTGTGGGTCTGGGAGACCCCTGTCAGAGCTCTGATTTGAACGAACATTGTCAAGGCACCTGGGACCTTGATTGCTCTGTGTTCAAACGCAAACGGCACCATTCAGCCTACCCTCCTCTTTTCTCAGCCTACCCTCATCTGCTTGGACCCAGGCCGTTCCTAGGGGCTCCTGGCATCGCTACTAGGACCCAGGCCGCTCCAGACAAAGATCTTTGGATCGAAAACTTCCAACTTCGAGCCTTGATGCGGGCGTCACGCTCCTCCCTTGCATGCTTCTCCCAGGCGGCTGTGGCCTCGCAACACCGATCGGTTGCGGCTTCCGGTTAAAACAAAACAAAACGCGGTGTCTTTCGCTGGGGTTCCACACTGCTGCCTGCATCCTGACCGACATCGCTGTGGGAAGGTGATTCTCTGTACAGCAAACAGGTCGAGGGCGAGAATACAAAATTACAACAATGTGGAAATTACCAAAAAATTACACACAAAGGATTTGAAGTGGGCTGAAGACTTCAGCCGAGGGCCAGAACATGTGACCTAGATGTCCTTTTGGTGCGGAAACTAGACCAGCCTCAGAATGTTCCTTTGGAGCCTGACGTTGTTTCTTGACTTGTTTGACTTGTCTTGGTCAAGGTTTGACCTCAAGTTTTCAACATCAAATGTCCGGTTTACTGCCACCTAGCAGTCTTGTGTTCAGTGGATTTGTGGTCACCTGCAAACTCCAGCTGTTTGGAGAGAGTGGGAAAATGTGAGCACTGCTAGAGCAGCTTCTGGCTTGAACCCTTTCTTTGGACACAACCAAAACCAACCAGAAGCTGATTTTCCAATCTGCACGTTTCTCAACTTTAATTTCCTTGACTTTTGAAATTTGGCAGCTGAAGTGGGAAGGGTGAACTTGGAGCCCTTCAAAGACCCACATCCTTGGTACTTCTACTCAGAGTGTCCACCAAAGGGGCAAGCGGCAAGCGCAAAGCTTGCTAAAGGTGCCAGTGCTGCAATAGATGACCGTGCGGGAAGGTGGGCATTATATATAATACTCCAATTCAAAGCTGAGGTGGGTGTGTCTAAAAATTAAGAGACCCAAAAGCATTCTGGGTTCATCTATACTCTATACTAGACTCTATACATTTCTCTTGCCGCCTTTTTTGTGACACAATGATGTCATCTTTGGTGATGCCAGCCTCTCGCGAACTGATGTGCATCTGCCGTCCGGCGCACTCTCCAGCACCAGCAACTGTCACAGCCGTCCGTTGCTCGAGTCACAGCCCACTGATGTGACAGACTGACTGTTGTTAGCTTGTTGTGGGCATCAGTGGTCTGCGGCTACAATTGACGGATGTCTGCCCACTGGACCGCAATTGGGACATCTCATACTGTAAATCATAGCTTGTGAATGTCCGCACGTGGACACAATAGGAAACCAGTAACGTTTGTTGATGTTGATGAATGCCTTAGTTTCTTCACACTGTTGTCGCATCTGAAGCTAATTACTGTCTTACCTGTAGAGCTGGTTAGGCCAACCCGACGCAATGGCAGAACAACACCGTCGCCCACATCACCCCGCACAGCCTGACCATCATCCGAGTCCTACCATGTCAGGAAGTGCAAAACAACGCGCATCCAACTGAATCGGCGCCAAACGCTGTGGATCGAACAAATGCACCGACTGTTTGGCGCCGGAAAACACCCCATGGCCCTCATCCCGTCTTCTTTGGAGCTTTATATAATGGCTTTCATGTCGTGTTCGCATGTGCTCCACCTAATTCTCCAGCCTCTTCTCAATTTGTGTTGAACAATCGTCCTTGAAGCCTGCAAGGCGCATAAGCTCTTTGCCTGCTTGCCCTGGGAGCACAGGGAGCTCAACCCTAAGGCCTATCGAAAGCATTGGTTGTAGCAATGCACTGCGAAAGCACACAAAACGCCTCTCACAGCTAAGGCATGGAGATCATACAGCCTTTCCAATCATGGTGAGATGTTGATCAAAAACAGCAGTTAACTGAGCGGTCAGCTGGAAGTTGTTCTGGTCTTGCAGTCGTGGCAGTTTCAAGGGTGCTCTAGTCAGTGCACAGAAAACCGCCACAGCACCCCAGTCCAATAAGGTTCCTTCAGCTAGCAAATCCATCGCATGCCGCCTTCGGAAATGCACACTTACGTTTCCCCCTGCTCGGCTTCACCGAAAGAAACCGACCACTGCGTGCTCGCGGTCGCCTGCCACGTCCAGCAACTTGCCGCTCAAGGCAGCGTTGCTACATTTGAGCTGCCTCACCAGGCGGTTCCGACGGTTCCCACCGAGCCGTCGTTGCGGCAGTGACTGTTCGTGGCTTCGATTCCAATGTCGGGGTGGGACCTTCATATCTTCCTAAGGCAAAATGTGTATCACGCACAACAGATTGTGTATATTATGTGTCAAATGAGCTGCTTCGCTGCCCGTTTTGACTCGTTATCTCTTCACCCAAGTGACCTTCATCTCCAACATTCCCACACCTTCATGTTCCATTCCGTGCGCCGTCTTTCGCTTCGCACCGGGTGTTCCGACTCCTCTCTTTCGCCTCCCGACCGGGACTCGCCTGAACTTGGCTTCCTCTGGACTCTGGAGGGTGTTGTCTAAGACCTTGGCCGAGCTTCACGGCCGACCTGGTCCGCTCAGATTTGCTGAAAGAAACATGGACCATTGGTCCACAGTGATGCTTTTTCTGCGCCAGGTCCGGGTTCTCAACGCGGCAAAAGCATCAGAGAGATGGACAATGAAACAGCGTGTCCTCGCTCTTCAGATGGGAGGCAAAATAAACTAGACTAGACTTGATGCAGCACGCATCAGATGCAGCGCGCATCAGATGCACGAAGAACTGGAGTGATCCATGCCGCTTCTTCTGTGGGTAGCAGCTTCCACTTACATCTTCAACACCCAGCCCGCTGAGCTGGGCAAACAAAGAGTCGTGTCTCGGCATCCCCTCAAGAAACGGCAGGAATGATTGAAGAAGCTTGCATGTCAAGTGGGATGCCATGCTTTGAGCAGAAGCATCAACAGCGAATTTCATATTACGTGGACGCAGGTTGGATGACAAATTCCAAAAACAAACGACTGTGCGACGAGACAGGCTCAATCATCTCAATCATCCAGTCACACGCAAGTCCTAGAGTCCTAACGTCCTAGCATTTCGTCCTTGTCACACCTACTGAATTGCAAGACTCACCATTCCGGACAAGGTTGTCGACCATGAATGCATAGGCATTGATGATGTCGGTGTAGGTTCCTGTGATAGGGCAAAATTCCTGGTCCGGTGGATTACACATCCGCTTGCATGAGCAGATTGTATAGCAATCCTGAACCGCTTTCATTGCCTGGCAGCACTCCGTCACCGTGGCATTCCCAATGATGACGTTGGAGTAAGCCGCTGGGCCACAGACCCTTCGCATCTGTGCAACTCGCTCTCCCCTGCAGACCTCAATGTCCTCCGGTGTACAGTAGCTAGCACGACTGGTATCACAACCTGACAGTACCAGTGCCATGGGGATCAAACCCAGCCAAACCATACCAAGCTGCATCGCACCAATATGTGGCACTGCACAAGCCTTTTGCATAGGGACGGCAGAGGGTCTCGGCTCTTCAGCGTGCACTCTCTATAGAGGGTCTCGGACCAAAACTGCGAGGTGGAGGTGATCGGCACATGCGCGGATCGCAACAAGGGAACACAAGGAAGATTGAAAGAAATTGACGGTGAGGCCTCCAAAAAGTCCGCCTGAAGCTTCTGATAGCCTGATAGCTTATATAATCTTATATACAGTACATTGTGTTCTCGATTCCCTGTTTCAGCACCTTCAGACCGGTTCGGAAGAAGGCTTCCTGCACCTGCGCGACGATTTTGGCGCGTTTTTACGTCCGACCGAGTCTCCTACCTCCAGGACGTCCTACCGTCTGTCCCACGAGGGTCTACGACAGGATGGCAAGAGTGGCAAGTTTTGGTTGGGATTCGATGACCTGAGCCTCATGGAGCCTCATGGAGCTAAAAATACTGGTTCGAGCAGTAAATCACCTTCAAATACCAACTGCACAAAAGGGCTCCAGTCAGTGTGTGTGTGTGTGTGTCACCCTTGGAGTCATAGGGATGCTTTTGCATTTGTTTTACCGCAGGGGACCAGGCATCTTGCTGCTGACCTGGTCTAACAAAGCTAGGCAGCAAGATGGGCTACTGGAGTTGGCCACTCCAGCGTACCTGCATTTTTCTGCATTCTTTCCGCATGGCATGAGGCTAAGCCCAGAACCTCACTGGCTGCAGACATGAGCGATCGTCGTCATTTCGACCTGTTCGTCGCCTTCGATCTTACGCTTTTGGCCTCACTTCCTCTTCCAGACCCCCAGGTTTCGCTGGTTCCCTACTGGTACTCTTAGGAAATGGAACCCTAGGCCGGCGTGTGGCACCGCTATCAAGTGAGTACGCATCTCCATGAGTGTGTTTGGCTTCGCGCCAACCCGGGATGAGCCCGCAGAGTGCCTCCCGTGGACCCGTCGAACGGGTGTACGTCCATGTTCCCCCGGCTTTGGGAACGCAGATGTCCACAGCGGACAGTAGATGGCTAATGCCGTACGTCCGATGATTTATGTCTCATTTTTGGAATTCCAAGCTGGCTCATGCCTTTACGTGACCGCAGCGGTCGAAGCAGCCAGCCATTTCGGCAAGGCACAAGGTGACCAGAGCGGTCAAAGCCAGTTTTAGGTTCATTGGAACCTGTTGGAGCCTCAGTTTTTCAGTTGATCCTCCTCCTCTCGCCATGTTCCCTTCTCCAGCTGGCCTCAACCCCGTCGACGGCATCACGATGAGGGCCCAGACCATCCTACATCGAGAAATTCTTCATCTACATGGTTTGTTGATTCTCGCCATTTCCCTTCTTCGCACCCGTTTCGCCATTCTCAACCCTTCCTTCGTGGACTACATCACCTCACCGCACATTCAGCTGCAAATTCGAGGCCTTGACTCTGCGATTCGGCAAGCGACTCAGGCCATCCACAACGGAGTGCACTATGTCAACGAACTTCTCACCACTTTTGGGATGATGCACACCTTGAACTTTGACAACACTCAGGTTGATGCTGAATTACGCGGATGTTCGACCTTTCCTGACCCTCGTCTTCCTTCCTTTCCCATGATTTCTACCTCTCCTCGGGGCTCGGCTACGACACGGAGTACACCATCTACCAGTTTCTTTCCAGGCACATCTACAATTCCTCCGGCGAGCACCCCCTCTACTTTACGTCCACTCGTTCGACTTCTAGGAATCTCTAGG